CATTTTTGGCGCTGTTCTCGTCAGAAAGATCTACCGACTAACACATTAACACGACCTACCAACCCCTCCCCCACTTAACCCTCCTGGAGGGAGAAAAAACCAGCCTCCCGGCACGTTCTCTGACGCCCCTGAAACCCTAAACATCTTGCAGCAAACCCACCTGACGAAGGGAGGCACGCGAGGGCCACGCCGGACGCAGGACCCACCGCCTTCGTGAGCACGAGGACCGCGATGTCGTTGTTGTACGCAGAGCCACTGGCGTAGGCCCGGTGGTAGAGGGCGTGAGCCACGTCCGCCGAGATGCCCGTGCTGTGGACGCTGTGGATGCCCACCGACACCTTGAGCGGGAACCTGCTCTCGCCGCTGGAGGGCGGAGGAAGTGGAAAAAAGAAAGGATCATATAAGCATAACATTTCTCTCTCATGCTTGCCTTCTATCCAACAATCACATTTATATACGTATCGTGGAGAACCATGTATCTACAAATGACCAGTGTTAAGTTTGAGCAGGTAACCGAGATGCGAGGCGGGTCCTCACCCCTTGATGCAGTGGGCGGCGGTGACGACGTGGCGCCAGGACACGAGCGTCCCTCCGCAGAAGTGGCCGCCGTTCTTGGTGCGCACCGCCGCCGTCCACGGCCACGCTCCCGCGGCCGCGACGGTCCCGCCCACGATGCGCTCGCCAACCCCGCAGCTGGACGCAGGCGCGGTCGTGGCTGCACTGCCGTTGGTGTTGGTGCTGACGGACGCCTCGGTGGTGGACGTCAGCCACCAGAAGATTCTGTTGGTATCGCGGGGCGCCTCCCGCTCGAAGCCCTCCTCGTCCGCGCCTTCGCCTCCGCCCTCCGCCCTCGCGTGGCCCTCGCCGGTCGCTGCCTGATCGGGGGAATCTGCATGAGCAGGGATTCCATCTCGTTCGAGAGCTTCCTTATCTGATACGACTCCAGGACAAAGCCTCTCATCCGAGCTTGAAATACCCGAGGCAATAAAGCACACAAAAACAGCAACAACAACGGGAATCCCACACCCAAGCTGCGCGAATTGTTATCAAAGGACTACTGCATGTCTACGGTCCATTATAATAGTTTTAGTCCATGGAAACCAACTATAGCGATGACAGGAAATGATATATCACAAAAATAACGCTTAGATTACTCATAATTGACAAATCGCCAGTGATATCTACAAGCTCGATTTATCCATAATCCTCCTTGTGGTGGAGCTACGTTGGCCTTTCTCAGAGCGCCGATAAGCCCGGAGTGGAACACATCGCCAGTATCGTGGCTATAGTTGGTGTCCGCAGATTAATTAAATAAAAACCTACACATAAGACAATATTATAACAAATTCGGTTGTATCAGCGCCGCTCATATTCAAATGGTTAAATCAACAACAATAATGGCGGACATAATGAAAGCAAAAAGAAAACTCACCAAAGAGGAGAATGAAGACTGCACTTCCCTGCCATGATAATCTAACACCACAGCGTCAAGGGGAATGTCAGAGCCATCTATTGGAGGAAAGAAAAAAACATTCAAGATTACTTCCCTCTCCTTGCTATTGAAGTAACTTTCCACGATGATGATGAGAGAGAGAGAGAGAGAGAGAGAGAGAGAGAGAGAGAGAGAGAGAGAGAGAGAGAGAGAGAGAGAGAGAGAGAGAGAGAAGAGAGAGAGAGAGAGAGAGAAATTCCAACCTTTTAATTATAGATGAAGAAGGGCGTTCGCTCAATCAGAAACTGGATAAAATGTTCTTTTCCGTAACTAACGGCAAAGCAGCGGGCTGTGAATTTGCATTTATTCCCCTTTTTAAATGGAACAGTTATAAAAGGCTCTGTAGGTATAGTTGAAATGCATGACCGCCATTTAGCGAAACAACCCTCTGATTCCTTTTACAAAATCAGGTTATTTTTCTAAACATACACGCACTATATATATATATATATATATATATATATATATATATATATATATATATATATATATATATATATATATATATATATATATATATATATATATTATTAAAAACGTAATATCACGACACAAAAACAAAACACACACACACACACACACACACCACACACACACAGAGAGAGAGAGAGAGAGAGAAGAGAGAGAGAGAGAGAGAGAGAAGAGAGAGAGAGAGAGAGAGAGAGAGAGAGAGAGAGATAAATAGATAGATAGATAGTGAAGGGGGAAAGATGGGAGTAGGAGAGAGGAAGAGATAGATATATAGATAGGTAGATAGAGAGAGAGAGAGAGAGAAGTAGAACAAATTATGCAACACCAAATAGTTTAATGTAATAGAAGCCAAAAAAAAAAAAAAAAAAAAAAAAAAAAAAAAAAAAAAAAAAAAAAGCTACCTGGAAACCATTTTGGATGTAATAAGAAAAAAATAACTTACAGTTTATGCTTGCGACGGCTTGCAGGAGGAAACAGAGAACTCCTAGCGACACTTCTGACCTCCGCCCCATCGTGACCTCAACTGATTGACCTGACCTCGCGATCTTCAAGGCCTTCAAGCACCACTACATGTGCATGTGTCTGAAAATATTGAGATAAATTTTTTTCTTGTTCACCTTCTTTTTCCCTCTCTTTCTTCTTCTTTTAACCTATTTACAGCATGTACATTTTTGAATAATAATATCATTATTATGGTCAATGTTATTACCATTACTGTTATCATCATTATTATCATTATCTTTATCATTATTATTATTGTTATTGTTATCAGTATTTTCATTATCATTATCATTACTATTACCATTATTCTTATCATTATCATCATTTGTTATTAATATTCTTATTATTACCATTGTTATTATTATTGTTATTGTTATTGTTATCAGTATTTTCATAATTATCATTATCATTATTGTTATTATATTACTTTATTATTATTATTATCATTATTTATTATTTTGTTATCTGTTTTTATTACCATTGTTATTGTTACAATTTATTTTTCATTAATAATTACTATCATCATAATTATCCATCATCATCACAGGATTCTTAAATTATGATATCAACTTGAAATTGCTAATATATAGTAGAATATTGTTGAGTATGGAACAATATTACTCGATCATTAATTATCGGTTTTGTTTCCTTTTGTTTCGTTTCATTTCCTCTTTTCGTCGTCAATTTTCGTCATGCATGCATTATGGGAATAATAATGGTAATGATTATCAAGAGGGTTATTTTTAAAAGGTTGAATGTAGAAAGGTATGACTAAGAATGAGTATCTCCACAAAATACGTATTTGGCCGGTTTCGAATATATCTTCGTCAGAAATACGTGTATTTCTGACGAAGATATATTCGAAACCGGTCAAATACATCTCTTGAATTGTGAATTATTCATTCTCTTTCATACCTTTCTGCAAGGGTTATTCTTGTCTTCACTTTCATTCTATCAATTCATTCATTTCTATAATTTATTCATTAATTATTTTCATCATCATTTATATTATCATTATATTATCACAATATATGATTACTACTGATATAATTACCCAAATATCACCAAGTACGAAAAATCATTAATTATTATCATTATCACCAACAGTACCATTATCATTATAATCACTAATATTACTACTGATTAAACCAAAACAAAGTAACGGAAAAAATGAGTTCATGAATTTATGATCTCTCACTGACCTTCGTGCGACCTTATGTGACCCTGTAAGATTTACGGTCATTCGCCTGACCTGATTTTCAAGGCTTAGAAGGTGATTAACTGCAAAGGTTGGATCCACTTTCCTCTCATAAAAAACACACACATGTATGTATAGGTCAACAAACACGTATATCTAGATCTTTATATTGTATACACACGCATATATATGTATATGTATGTATATATGCACACACATACACACACACACACACACACACACACACACACACACACACACACACACACATATATACATATATATATATTATATATATATATATACACACACATATATATGCATAAATATATATATGCGTATGTATAAATATGTATATATTATATATATATATATATATATATATATATATATATATATATACATGTTTATAATTCTAATATATGACAAGTTCAAATCCTTCAGCAGGAGCAGATTCCCCTGGTTCAGGAACTTGGACAGTTTCTGCTCCTAACGCGTCTCTCGGCGTGACGTGATTGAGGATTGGCACGGTCACGTCAGCAGGAGGCACAGGAGTCACAGGAGGCATGCCGGCCAATGCGGAGGTAAATGTTTGCTCAATTTCTGGCCTTAACCCGTCTGAAGGCGCGGCGGGATGGAGGAACGACGCGCTCACCCCAGGGGCAAGCACACGAGGGACTCCAGTCAACACGAAGGCAAATATTTACTAAGGAGAGATGGTAAGGTTGATTGACACTCCTCATCCAGTGGATATAATGACCGTTCTCATTACCTGTATGAATAAAAATGAGAAGGGTCGAGAGGATGAGTTATCAGAACAGGTGGACTCAACGATCCCCAGAGGTTCGGGGGAAAACAGTGTTCTGCCACTATTTGTTCGGGATACAGGAAGGGCGTTTTTTCTCCCGGCGACGAGTCTTTGATCAGTGGCAGAGCTGGAAAAATATTCTGGAGGGGAAGGGGAACTAGTGTATTCGGGGGTGACTCGGATATATCCTTAATGATTGTGGTAATAGTAATGACAATAGTAATAATAATAATGATAATGAAAATGATTGTGGTGATGATAATGGTATTATTACTATAATCACTGCTGCTACCACCATTATTACTATTACTATTACTACTACTACCACTACTACTACCACGATTATCATTACGTCTACAACTACCACTATTATTATTCATTGAAAAGTTTCTGCCGTGTCAATATTACTTGAGGACGAAGCCCCCAGGTAAGGAAAGATCATATAGCACTATGCCACAATATTATAAAGTATTGTGTCAAAAATGGTAAAAATGAGTTCACGATTAGGACAAAATATATTAGATAAAGATTGTAGAGCGCTGTAGGTTAGTATGGTTGTGAAAAGTCGTTCATGGCTGACACAAAACCAGCCTTATAGCCTTTCAGCACGGCTCTCACACCCTAGGAATGGGGCAGAAGGGGATGAAGGACAGAAGGAAAAGGGAAGAGGGAGAAGAAAAGACCAAGCAAAATTAGTTTGAGGTAAGGGCTGAGGTCCAAAGTAGGGGTGATCCCCTACCTTGGGCCTGAGTCTCCGTCTCCTAAGCCCCCTCCTCCCCAAGACAACAACGAGCAAGGGATTGGGGGGAGACGTTCTAGCCCCCCCCCTTCCCCCACAGCCTTTGACTATGAGACTGGATTAGGAGGGCAACCTGTGTGTAAGAATCCGTACCCTGTTGAGTAGGCTTCCAGCAGCGGGGGAAAAATATTAAACGTTTGAAAGATGAGAAGCGCGGGAGGGGGCGGGCGACACTGTACAGCCATCATCGTCACCATACAAATGGATATAAAATAATAATATTAAGAATTATAAAGGTGATGATAACCATCATAATGATTGTACTATAAACAGTAATCATAATGGTGATGATAAAGATCATAATAATATCGACAGCAATAAAAAATATTAATGAATATGTGAGAACAACAATTGCAGTGACCTTAGTAATATGGATAACTATAGTTCAAAAAACGTAATACTGAAAATAACAACGTTGGTAACAGCAATCAGCACCAACATATGGCTAACTCATAAGAAACAAATAAATGATAAGACCATTGACATGACTATTTGAACATTATAGTAAATAACACATAATGCATAAAATTCAAAACAATAAATCACTCGCAACACAAAGGCAACATGACAAACCAGTACACACATCATCTCATTACATAGCTTTTACACAAATATAAGCCAACCTGCATTCACCCAGGCCCAAATCGGACTTAAAAGATGATACCAATAATCGACAACTTTTAATAACACTCTACTTAACATAGTCAACTCCGCTTCCGAAACGGCAGAACACGCGCAAACGAGAGCATAAAAGGCTTAAAATCACCATTAACACCGCCATGAACAGCCTTACTAGACATACACGGCCGTCCATCACAGCGCTCGACCATCAATTCCGCCAAACAACCATTTAGCTCATCGTAACCGGATTTCTCCCAACGACCGAGGCTGTTTCGAACATCGGAGAGGGCTTCGGAACGGACGACGAAATAGCTGTACAGTGCCAGGGCATTTACAAGGAGTTATATTCCTCCTAGACGTGGTTATGGAATCCGAGTAAAATCCCCTTTCGGGCGTGAGAGAAAATGGGCGCGAGGATTTTCCGAAACAGGAGTTGGTGATCGGTGGAAAATTTCTCTCTTAACGGCAGGCAATTCTCCGGGTTTTCCAAGCAACAGATGGGGGAGAGACCGATCTCCTATTTCAGTTTTGTATTAAAAGGCGTTTCCCCGTTTTCTTTTTCTCTCCTTCCTCCTTCTTCCTTCCTTTCTGTTTTCTTTATTTAACCGATAGCGCTTCCGGAGAAGAGAAAGGAGAAAGAAAAAAGTAGTAGTGCGGAATTTCAGGGTTATATCCGAAGGGGCATCGCGTTTTTTGCTTTTATACTCCAAGGGTGTCAGAAAATGATCGTTTTCCAAGAGGCGGTCGCAGTTTCGGATGCTCGCGCCGCGGAAGATGCAGGGGTATATATTTATTTGTATTTATTTATTTATTCATTTATCTACTTTGTCTATTTGCAGTTCATTTATTTTATTCTCATTGCCAATATCATCATGATGTGTATGTGTAGAGAAAGAAAAGAGAGAAAGAGAGAGAGAGAGAGAGAGAGAGAGAGAGAGAGAGAGAGAGAGAGAGAGAGAGAGAGAGAGAGAGAGAGAGAGAGAGAGAGAGAGACACACACACACACACACACACACACACACACACACACACACACACACATATAATATATATATATATATATATATATATATATATATATATATATATATATATATATATATTATATAGGGCCGGGACCAACTGCCCCCACTCCTCAACTTTCGAGGACATTCCCTGTAAACAAACAAACCGTGTAATTCCTCAGTTACCCTGTTGTTGAATACACTGATCCCCTGCAACTGGTGTTTAAGATGAAATAACCATTATGTCAAGTATCATCTTGATAAAAATGTCTGACATTTTACCGCAGAAATTAATCAATTTATCTCTCAAACTTCTAAATTCTAAGAGCTGCTCCTTGACCCCCTGCAGCCATCAGGAGCCCAGGCTATTTCAAGGGATCCTACTTTGCCCCCCCCCCCACTTCAAATTACCTTCCTACACTTTATATGTATGTATGTATGTATATGAGTATATATATGTATATGTTATATAAATACATCTATCTATCTGTATATCTATATATATATATATATATATAAACTTTGGAAATAAAAAATGAGATTTATCCTTGCTTGGAACAAATGATGAAACGGCCGTCTGTCTGTTCTCTCTCCCTCTCTTTCTCG